ATTTTATTATGAGAAGTAATTCTAATAAAGGACTAAAAAAATTATGTGATTAATTTTTTATGAAATATCAGATATTTGACTCAAATTTTAACAGATACTTGACCATGTCAAGGGACTAGGTCAAATTTGCAAAAGACGAATTTTATCAGTATAATAATTTATGATCTATCCTTTTTTTTAAGATACAAACAAGGTAGTTTATGGATTTCTTTCAATGAATTTTTTGTGCAATTAATTTTTTTTTTTTGTTTCAGAATTTACATCTAAGATTGACAAAACACTGGCAAGTTGAAACATACGTACCCACAAAGCCCACTTCTATGAGTTAAATCGCAAAGCTAATTCACACTGGAATGATGTGAGGGCCTACAAAGAACACTTCTATGTGAAGATGTTTTTAAGTCAAGGCTGATGTGGCACCAATGCCAACCTCTGTGTGGGGGTGTGTGTGTGTGAGACATGTGTCTCATGGGCCACTCTTTTCTATGAAGCTGCAATTCCAGCTTCCATGTGCAGGTCAAGTGGCCTTCACATGGAAGCATGACTAGGTGCCATACATGTAAACTATATATATATATATATATATTTGTTCCCACAATTGTTCCTTCCATGCTCTGTAGTGGAGTTCCTCTCCTTTGGGTTGGGTGGTGTGATGGACACTTCATAGTGGGGACAATCTGAAGCAAACTGTAACGCATTCTGTTGCCCATTCTTTCTCCCAACCCCACAAGTGCAAATATTTCCATAGAAATCAACCACCCATTAAATTGTTTTCTTTCTTTTCTTTTCTTTTTCATGGTTTCCACAAGTTCTGTGGCACTTAAGAGCTCCTTTATTTTAATATATAAATAGTTGAAAAATGAGTGGAAAAAATATAGTTGTGGGCATTTCATGACATGAACTAAGAGTTCTATTCTACTGAAGTACTGTACAAAATCATATTGCTCCTTCTTCTTTCTTTTTATTTATTTATTCTTTAATGTCAGATATTTCATAAGATTGGGGCACTATGAGTCTAGTAAGAGAGAATTGAAGTGGAAGCTATATAAAGCAACTTTAGCACATCATCCCTGCTATAAAAAAAAAACAAACAAACAGAACAAACAGAACAATCAAAACAAAACAAAACAAAATCCACTGGGTATAATACATGGTTGCCCAAGTGTACAAAATTCACCAAATGTGAAGCAGCAAATGCATAGTTTATGAAGTGGACCATGTGCACATACACAAAAGGCCACAAAGAGAAGGGACCCAGGAACAGTGTGAATGCACCAAGCAAAGGTGTGCCCCACACATTCAAATGCAATCTGTTGGGGGAGGAAACTCATGTTTGCTAGGAACTTGGGCACTGAATGGGGACCCATGTGTAGTCTTGTGCAAGAGCAAAAAAAACAAAGAAGTTGAAACCTTTGTCAAAGGGTACAGAGTTTCCAGATGTGCTATACTCTTCTGCTGTGGCAGGGAATAAGAAGAAGAAGAAGAACAAGCACATGCTAGAGCACTTTAAAACCAAACATTACTTCACAACATCAAATGAAGTCAACCAAGTTGCATATTTGAGTTTCCTCCTCCACTGGCTAAATGTTCACAAAGACACAAAATTGAGTGTTTCAATTCAACAAAGGACTGTCTTCTATCTGGTTGGGCTCCAAAACTTGCTCCCCCCCTAGCTCTCACAAGCAACCCAACAAAGAGTCTCTTACCTTGCAAACTATCACTCTACACCTGGAAGCATACTACATGGATGGATGTTGCCGCAAGCTGCAATTGTTTCTCGCTTGTTGAGACAGTATGTTTCTAGAGTGGCCCACTCCTTGTACAGCCCATGCAGTTACCACTTCTTTGACCTGGGTCAGTATTGGTGGAGTAATGAAGTTAATGTTGTCTACTGTCCATGCAGCAACCACTTCTTTGACCCTGGGCAATACAAGTGGAGCAATAACATATATATATATTTAGTGTAGTACTCTATTCACCAAAGTAGGCTGTAACTCTGATTCATACTAGAGATCTCACGAGGAACCTTGGCACTATCAAATATAGAAATGTCTTTTCATCTACTTAACTTGGCAATAATTCCTGCGCATGTAATGAGCTTTTTGTGTTTGGTTTTGCACTGCCATGTCATTGCATTCACACTGCACCAATTCTCAAGCCTCCTTCTCATTATTATTATTACTACTATAATCATTAATAGTTTGAAATATAACACAATCCCTTGTCAAAGAGAATATGGAACAATGCCTCACAAGGTGTCTATGTGGTGTCCGCCATGAAGAAGCAGGGCTTACAATGATCCTCGGAATATTGCGTTCCAAGTCGTGGGCCAACAGGCCTCGTGGATAAACTTCAAGAGGCAGTGGTCACCCCGTTTCCCAACATGGGTAACCACCTCAGCGCCACCAAGGTTACAAAAAAGAGGTGTCATGATGTATCATACCACTTCTAAAATCATAATAAAATCCCCTTTGATGATAGTGGTTATGAGTGGAGGATTTTTTTCCCATTAATGGACTTTTGAGCCAGTTAATTACACTACCAAAAAAGTAGTGGAGAACTATTTCAAATCTTGTATTTCTACTTGTTTACAGATAACAAAAAAATCAATCTTATTTATGTGAATAACTTTAATATTGGACATAGTATTGGAAAAAAATAATAATATTAAATACCCTCATTGAGTGTGCCACTGATCAAATTGAAGAATAGTAAAACATAATGAATGGTTGTATGATGAATGTATATTCTTTTAACTTTTAATAGCTGACACAGTAGCCTTAGATAGTTTTCTTAGGGGATTGTAAATTTCAGTGCCATGAAATTTGAACTTGACAGCACTGAGTGTTTCAAGAAATTCTCAAAAACAATGTTATGAAAACTTGCAGGAAAACGACATGCGAAGTTGTACAAGAAATTGCACTAAAACCTCCTAATATTAATATGCTTAGAAACTGGACAAAATCAATGCAGAAAAAGTAAATTGATAAATGTACATAGCTAATTGAGAAATTATTTAGTCGGTGACATGGACAAATAACAGGTGATCTTGACTAAATAAAAAAACATATATATATATATATATATATATATATATAAGATATTGAAGAGTTATTCAAATTTTTGCATTTACCTGTAAATGAATTGGTAAAGTATTAGAATGAATTCAAAAAAGTAACATAAAAGCATTTATTCCATAATTATAGTGAGTGTGTGTAAATCTATGTGCATATATATATATATTTATATATGTGTGTAATTTTTTACATTTTTATCTTACAAAAATTTAAACATAGAACTATGTTTCATCTAAATCTATAATCTGACTCTCTTTTTACAATCCATAAATACTTAACTTGAACCCTATTTTGTTACTTTTTTACGTACCATCCAACTTATATTAGTGAATTCTTTTGCATTCTTTTGCATTACAAAAGATTTTCAAATGCCTATGTTCATAAAAAAATTATCACGAAGACTTTAAATTTTATATTTAAAAAATAAAGATCTTTTATACTCTCTTTAAAATATGGCACTTTCTAAAACAAAGTGTATTACAAATACTCTGTGAATATATTGCTAATAAAAAAATTATTAATATCAGACTATTTATATAGATATTTTTAATAATATTCATTTTTTATAATTATATGTGTATGTTTTTTATTATATGACAAGGCAATAGTAAAACTTTTATACTATTCTAGCTAAAATATTAAATAAGTGCAATTTTTCATACAAGACAAATCATAAAATATTTAATGTATTATATATTTTGAGAATTTTTAATTAATACTATTAGAAATTAGTTGAATTTCTTAAGTATTTATTGTCTTCTAAAACTCTTTGGCTAATTTAAGCAATAAAGGACTATATCTTAAGCATAATTTTTATTAAAACAAAGATTTAAATTATATGTAATTTTTTAACCAACAAGAATTGTAAAGTATCTTTAAGAGCAAAATTAAGTGTTAAATTATATATATATATATATATATATATATATACCTCCTTTTAGATATTATGTGTTTGAATAATACATAACTGGTTGACATTATGTTAGCATTTATTGATAACATAATTATCATGAGTTAGTGGTATTACCATGTAGTTATGCGACCTACCAAAACTATTATGCTACCTAAAAACACAAGTATTCATTAGTTAATTGAATCTTTTGTGGTGGATTAATCTTTATTATTTTTGCACTAAAAAATCCTTATTATCAAACTTTAAACTTGTGCCATAATAGCCCAAATCTAAAATTCATTATTTCAAGATCGTTAATTTATTTGAATCTTTATTTGTTAATTGGTCGTCCACTTGTATTTATGCAAAAATTTGTATTCATAAAAAATATATTATATTGTAAATTAGTATTTTTTATTAAATAATGAAGAATACCAATAAGACATTTTAAATGATTTAATAAAATAATAATAATAATAATTACATTGCTAAAAATAATTTTTAATTTATATTCTCAATAAAGGTATTATTTTATATATTATATATTACATAAAAAAATAACAACATATAAGTGTTTTTTAATAGAAAATAAATAAAATTATGCTATCAATATAAATGTGCTAAAATTGTCTTTGGTTTTATACAAAAAAAAAATACAAAAAAATAATATTAATTATTATTATTATTATTATATCACCATATTTTTTAATATATATATATGTATGATTTATTAGATTCATATTTCATTTGATAAAATATAATGGTCAGCAGAATGTTATAAAACTTTTGAACCAAATGATGGTTGTTCAAAGTTTCAAAGCATTTTTCCACAAAAAACTCAAAATCTTCTAGATGTACAAGTGATAATTATACGGTTTTTATCCAAAATAAAATTTTAATATCAAAATATTCAAAATAATATTTTATTTTCATTTTAAATGTAATATTGATATATATATATATATATATATATATATTTATATATTGTTTTTCTGGATTTCAAAGATTGCAAGTAGGTACTCCACAATATTAAGTATGTATTCTTACTTATTTATGAATTAATTTATTTATTTATAATAATTTTATTTAACAAGTATTTATTATGTTTTCAAATTTATTTCTAAATACAAATACAATTCTGGTTCATTTCATTCAAATACAATCCTTTTCAATGAAGAGCACAAGTCATGATTGTAGCCATTCCATGCAAACTTATTTGAAACACCCAAATAATCTGCAAAGGAATGGTTCACATGATTAGACATCTAAATCAACTATGTTTGTTCCTAGCATCGCCAAAAGTGAATTTTGGCACATCCAAAAATTGCCCAACTCAACAACAACACAAAATACCAAATACTATCCCATGTTGTAGTTCTTTATATATATATATATATATATATATATTGTCTTCTTTCCACATCGCATCAATTTGTACGACAATTCTGCAGTGCAGAAAGGACATCGGAAAGGAAGCGAGAGAGGGAGCGAGAGGGATCGTGAAGTGCGAGATACAGGGCACGAGTGGGATGCCTGGCAGGTATCCCGGGGCCTGTATAGCACCGCAGAAAGATCCAAAACAGGGGGGCAATGCGGCACTGAATCCCCCGCGGCGGGAGGGGGGTGTAGGCGTGGCTGGCACGAATTGGATGGGTGCTGCATCATTCTCGCCACCACAGCTGAGATCCAAAGACAAAGGGATGATGTTGTCTGGAATGTCTGGAACACTACCACCGAGAGCTTTTGCGCAACATCCTTCCCTCCCCCTCCTCCACACCTGCTCTGTCGAAGGTCCGCCAACTTCGAGGTCCACCAAACCCCCTGACACGCCGATCTCCTTCCTGCACACGCTCTGCCATCGATCCTCCCTGGCCGCACCAATACCCGCCTCCTTCCTCCCCATTCCCATTCCTGTGATGGATTTGGCAACCCCCCCCCCCCCCCCCAGAGCATGCACACGCGTTCCCTCAAAAATTAGGGCGCCCACGCAGAATTTCCTCAGCCCGTCTCTCCAGCCAGGAGCACCTCGGTCGCCGGAATTAGAGAAAAACAAATAAAAATAAAATAAACGTCTGAGGAGTCATGATTGATTAATCATCAGTGGGGGAAGGAAGAGTGGGGATGGAGCGGTACCTTACAGAACGGTCAAGGGCTACCCAAACCCAGAGGGTGCAAGCATGGCTGCCAGGGAGAGGCGAAGGTGCAAGTCGGGATTGACTCAGCTGAGTGCAAGCAGCGAGGGGATGAGAATAGAATAGCCAATACCCCTGGATGGGAGCAAGCCCTCCGAATCTGGGCATGAAACCAGACGCTTCTCAGAACGTGGGTTGAATCCTCAGGCGTGATTGTCGTCGTCGCCGTTCCTGCTTATTCTTCTTCTTCCACTCCTCCTTCTTCGGGCACTGCTTCGATTCCAAAAACATGGACGGGTTTCCATAAAAACGGTGGCTCTAGAGGCTATTTGGAGAGTCGGGGCGCCTGGACTCCACCAGGAGCCCTGAGTTTCAATAATTCCAACAGGGTTGATTCCCGCCAACCCCAGCACTATATCCCAGTGACCTGGGTCCACGTGTCACCCCCAAGTAGCGCCCTCGTGTTTAGTCAGCACCGCTGCCTTCCTCCCGCATGAACAGTGCCCCCGTTTTGCCTTCCCAACATGTGACTTTTTTAGGTTCATTGTGAAGTGAGGACAACGTTTTAATCTATTTTTTTTACTTGTTTCTTTTTTTTTTTTTTTTTCCATTTGTGGGTTCTGTTGCAAATGAGGGTGACCTCTTCCCATGCTCGAAACCCCTTCCTCTCTTGACCAATATGCATTCTAGAATAGTGATTTGTGCTATTGTGCCTGACATTTGCTTGCTAAAAACTTGAGATTCCCAACCATGAAAGTAGATACTTTGCTCATGTTTTGTTCATTACTTGGATGAAAAAATGTGTGATTTATCAAAAGAAAATGAAAAAAGATAAAAGAAAAAGAAAAACAAACAAATCCTAGCAATGGACGAATTGTTTCACTCTGGTTCTGTTATAATCATTCCAGTCTTTCAACCATGTCATGTGGTGCCAATATTCCATGTGTAGCTTCTGATGATATTGAATGTCTAGGACCAAAATTAAGATGATAAAATAATATTATTGTTATGATACAAGATATGCATGTATGGGTATATATATATATATATATTCACATGCACACACATGTTGGTTTGTGTACACTAATAAACCACAAGGATTTTGTCTATTGATCTTTTCAAATTATTTTGAAACGACATGTATTTATTGATACAGAAATTTGCAATTTGAACTGTTTTACACGACAATAAAATAGTTTGAATAATTTTCTTCTTATGCAATTTGTGGAATAATTTAGGTGAAAAAAGTCACCTATTTATTACAAATTCATGATTAAAGAATAAAGTAAGGCAGTAGGAGGTCATAAAATATTAAAAAACCTGAAACCACATCATTGTTGTTCAGTGTCAAAAGTAATCCATACACCAGAACACTGCAGATTTCACTTTACTGTTTATCCAGAACAATTCATGGAGAAGAAATTTTTATTTCAACTTTATTCCTAGTTTTTAACTTTATTGTATTCTTTTATAAAAAAATAAATAAAAGGGACTGCCTCTTATGCTAGATTCAGATATAAATAGGATCATCTCAGCCAAAATGCTCCATTAGATGATCCTTCTTTTCTAGATTGTTTGTTTGTTTGTTTTGTTTTTCAGGGGTGCTGGTTGGTGTTTGCAAAAGAGAATTTTGTCTCCTCTTAGTTGAAGCAAGTTTGTATTGAACCCCAGCCAGGCTTATTATTCATTAAGCATGCCAAACACAAAAGATACATGGAATATATGAGCCCAGGCCACTTGTTTCATGTCTTCTTGTGCTCATTCAAATAGGAATCCAGAAAGAGCTCTCACGGTTGGGGCACATGGCAATCCTATCCTCACCACCCTCAAAGTAAGCCATCTTTAAAAAGTCGATTTCCAAACACTTGAATTCATACATGAAGATAATAGAAAGCAAACGGAAAAAGAGAAGGAAGCAAGGCTCAGTTGGGGATTGGCAGAGACCCCAAATTCATGCCCCGTCATCGTCCACGTGGATGGAATGGGAATGACCAATCCAAGAGGTCGTTAGTTAGCAGATCCACCGGACAGGGCCGATAACTAGGGTCGTAATTAAGGGGGGCTGATTAAGCTAAATCCATCGCGTCCAGTTAAGATAAGTATAGATTATGTGGAGACTTGGGCGCGTCTCCACGGTTCAAGAGGGAGCGGGGGACTGCCTGCCTGTGTTGTTTGTTTGTCTGTCTGTCTTAAGCTGGGTAATAGATGTAACTTGACCTCTGGCTTAATTTCAGCAAGTCAATCACAACCCCCCTCCCTCCCCCACCTTGCCTATTCCCCATATTTTCCTGTTCAGAAATACCCCTTCCTGAAATACCCCGCAGTTTGTGTTTGTTTTTTTCTGAAAAATAAGGGGGCAGACCCCTTTGCTGAATTAAGTTTTTTAACTAAACTTTTAAGTACAAATGAGGTTGGTTGGTTGGGGTGGTGTTGTCTCAACTAAGTGTTGGTCGTACAGGAGTGCAAACAAGGCAGGCATTATTAATACCCATGTTTGTTGACTGTTATTTTTATTTTTGATTCTAAAAGGTTTAGGATTTCTTTGAGGCCTTTTTTTCTGGATTCTTTTTGCAATTTTCTTCCAGCGTACTTAGCCATGTTCTAATAGTCTAAACCAATAACTCTTCATATTTTGCCATCTTGTCATTTTAATTATCTAATGCTTCTGTTGTTTTGTTGTTTTGTTGTTCCCACATGATCCAAACACTTGCTTCCATTATGAATGGCCAAAGTGCTTTTTTTTTATGTCCTTGAACTGGAAGAGGTTTTTTGCTAGATATGGTTTGTTGAAACTTAAAAATGGTGTGGGTTTCTATTTTAGTTCCTTAAATGGGTAGTGTAAGAAAATTGCTGCCCAATTCAATACTCCTTCAGCAGTTGGGCACTCCCTAAATCTGTAAAGAGTTTTTTTTATGGTTTTCAGGGTGCAAATAAAGGCATGCATTGTTAATACCATTGCCTTGTTTTTTCCTCCATCCATTTGCTACATTGCATCAGTGCAATACAAACCAAATTAGAAAATATCTTTCTTTTGCCCTTCTTTATTCCATAATGTGCCCCATTTCATTTACTCCTTCGTTTGCAATACATCATACATGCAGATACACACAAATGATACAAGAGTGCATTTTATGTTTTACTTTATTATATAGAATATGATCTTTACAGCTTATTGGAAATCTATGATTCTAAATGATAAGTGAAGTTGGATATAATACATTGGTTACTTTTTAAAGTAATCAATAAACTCAAATTTTGCAAATTTATTAAAAGTATTCATATTTAAATAGCTTTCTGTTACACTTGGTGCAATTTACATGCAGTTCAGAAACACAAAGTAAATGTCATGTCAGTCAAGATACTGTTGAAAGAAGAGTTATGAAAACAGAACATTCCCTGTTACATAAAGTCATTTTAGGATTGAGCAGCTTTAATTATATTCTAGCAAAACGGGAGTATATTTTCATTTTCTACGAGAAGCAATGCTAACTACATAGTTATGACACGTTACTTCAAAGTTCATGGAATGGTATTTAGGTCCAAACCATATATATATATATATATATATATGTCCACGATTAATTAAAGCAACATGAAAGAAATAAACACATTTTAACTCTTGACTTGGCAAAGGAAAACTTTATTTAACATGTTGTTCTAAAATTCTAACGTGTTGTCAAAAATAATTCTTCAAATAAAAAATAAAAAAAACTCATGTATTGTTTTGATTTCATTGATAGGCCAAATTCACATTGTAAAAAATAAACCATTAAATGTTACAATTACAGGGTTTTAAATTCTAAATATAATTATTCAATTAAACATGATTTGTATGGAGCATCAAAAATCATATTTTTTTAAAGTGCAAATCCATACCTATATAACATTAAATTTAATCAAATTATATTCATATACTATCTTGCACAAAGTTGGATAAGTTACACTTATATGAATTCTCTACTAGCTCACTTTATTCCTTTGATTTTTATTTTCACATTATTGACTTAAGTAGTATATTGAAAAATACATTTCATTTTTTTAATTCACCCAATAAAACTATTACTTGGTCATCATGGAGAGAAAATAAAATAAAATATTCGAAGATATGATCTTGCTTTCTCTTTCTCAATCAAACATAAAGATTCTGTTGATGATTACATTCATGTAACAGTTATGTTTTAGTTGCTTTTGAAAGTATTATATTACATGAAGAATTTTTTATATTAGTAGAAATATGAACCTTACATTTTGCAATATGTTATTTAATTGAAATATAATACTAATACTAATTCAAGGAAAATAATCTTTTAAAGTGGTTAAACCAGCATCTAATCTATTTATCCCTCCCCAACATATTATTCCTCTGAATCAATAGTAATGTTCACACAAAGAGAAAGAATGTGATTGATCAATTGAAGGCATAATAATAATAATAATAATTGGGTAGTGCCTTCTTTCCCAATTGACATTGCTTAAATGATTTTTCTCAAACAACAAGCATATGAGTATAATTTCAGTAATCAGACTTTTGTAAAGTTATTTTAAAAATATATTTCACTTACCAACAACAGCAGGTTGTGTTTCAATTCTTCATAAAAATGTTTCTTCCTCCTCATTCCTCCACTCATGGGATTTTGACACGGTTTCCAGGGTCAGTATAATGGGTACATTGCCAGTCATCTGAGCCATTTAAGATCCAGGATGTAGAAGAATCTGTATATATATATATATATATATATATTAAAACCCTAAACCCTAAACTCATACACACACATACACACAAGCATAAGCAAATGGAAAGGGTTGAAGTGCTGTTGTGAACCACAGTGCTGGAAATTTCAAGCTCAGAGTCTCTCCCTTTCTGCCATGGACCATGCCAAAATGGATGAATGAATGAATGGATGGATGGATGTAGAACAAGGGGAAGGGGGAGTAGAGGCACTCGTGGCACACCCATATGCTGCATGTCATTGATTCCTTTTGTACCAGCTTTAGTGAGGACTATGCCACTTTGTCCTACCCACACATGAAAGGGGTAAACATTAAAGAGAACAAAAAAAAGGGGGAGAGGCGGGGCCCACTGTTGCTCTCTCTCTATCTCTTCCTCCCATGTGTAACAACCTTCAACCTTCCCTCCACATCCAGACCATTCACATGATAGTCATTCTTCTCATGGGTTTTGGCCCCCACCGCATGGCTGCCCCCATTCAGCATTTCTATTCCCCTCTCCTCCACCTTTCTCCCCTTCAGTGCTGGTGCTGCTGGGGGGGGGGGGGGTGTGGTCCACAGCATATCCCAATACCCCAACCTCCTCCTCTATCACCCACATTTATGTAACTGCATGTCCAGTTGAGAAGGGAACAGAAGAGCATGAGACCCATGGGTGTGGATTCTCAACAACAGCAAAAAGGGAGCTGCGTTAGTAGTAGCTCTGCCTTGACAGAACTTGGTTGAAAGACAGGGGCTCTACAAGGATGGTTCCCCACTATGGAAGGTTCTGGAAGATTCTGGTTCTATATCCAAAGTGCATATGTATATATATACAAACACACATACACACCTCATCTCTTTCTTTTGTGTAGTGTTAGAAGTGGGTGGGAGGGGGGAGATTATGTAAATCCATCCCATGGAAATCTTGCAAATATTGTTGCCATTGACTATTTTGCTTACCACAGCATGTCATGATATCTTCCTTTAGCCAAGTACCACCAGGACACCACTGAGCCATGATTTGAGACCATCAATAAGCCCCACTATGTGGAGGTTGTAGTTAGATGGTGGGTGTGGGTAGAGAATTTGAGGGGGGGGGGGTATATGGGGAGAAACAAAGAGCACTAGGGAGAAATGGATTGGATTGGGTTGTATAACCCAACCTAACAACAAGGGGAAGGGAGAATGGGGGTGTGTGAGGCTTCTTTCACTTGTATGCTGCAATGAGGTAGGAAGCCTCCTCACTTGTGCACAAGGGCCCTCCCTCTGAGTTATGAATAAGCATTGGAAAGAGGAAAGAGGAAGAGGAAGTGGCTGGGGAAGCAATACCACATGAGAAAATAACTAAGAGACACCCTCAAAGTAGAAAAGCCCTAACTCAGACTATACAATCCCCTTTGGCTGCCTTTCCCTGACTTGGCCTACACCACTGCCATCCAACCACATCCATTCCTTGTGTGGGTGGGACATTGCCAAAGACTTTTACAGTCATTTGTTCATTCAATTTTGGTGAGCAGCATTCCCATTTGGTGTCACCCATGTGAGCTCCCTCACATACACAGCTTAAATGAACAGTGTTGCTAACAACAATAAATTATACCTGGAGGAGTAAATTAAAGTAAGGAATCTACAAAAATATAAAAATATAAAAAGAGAGGAAGAAAGAGAGTGAGAGAGAGAATGAATTCAGAAGCCCAAAAGAGGAGTTACTTTGGTTTGAGCCTCACCTTTGCACTCAAAGCCAAAAGTGGCAACACACAGTACAATTTCTTTTCTTTTCTTTTGTGTTCAATATATGTAGGTTTCAAGCATTTGATTGGGTGGAATCAAGGAAAAAATTACTCTTGAGATTAATCTTTTGTACTTGCAATCACTGGTCCATGTGGCCACCCTTCCCTGTTGGCAGGTCAAATGATACACATGAAGAGCACATTCTCTTCTGCACTAGTGGCAGCAGCCAAACAAACCTTTGAATTTGCTTTTGCACTGGAAGTCCCTTAAACGTTATGGTATACATCATACATGAATCTATTTGGTTCATCTTGAAGATATGTGCTTGGTACATATCCCAGGAGGCTGCTGGTGTCAAATGGAACAAAACCAATGACATTTTTTGTGTTTATTTTTTTATTCATTATATTGTCTGACAGGAAAGCAGTAGTTATTGAAGCTTTTTTTTCATACTTTAAACCATTTCCAAAGGTTTTGGCAACCTCCTAAGGTTAATCTTTAAAATAACAAGCAAGAGAATTCATGAAAATTAATAATCATAATAATGGTAATTCACATGTATATATACATATTTAAAATCTGAAGGCATGATGATGATTGATCAATTAATTGAAACATTTATTTGTTGTGGCTGGAAAAAAAAAAATCTGACTTTCTTCTCTTCTGTGTATTTGTTTATTTGAAATTTGTGGAGGATGTCTGCCATATTTCCACTGTCAAAGTTTATATGTTGGTAAATTGACACAAATTGAAGATGAATTACACGATTTAGAGTAGTATTAGATTCTCAAAAATCAATCTTGTGGTAGAAACAACACTCCATCAAACAAACCTGCTCAATAAATGAAATGCATAGCACCATTTACTTAAATTTAACACTATATAAGTTCTTCATACTGGGTGTGTCAGGAAAATGCAATATGAATTGCCAACTTCAAATGATTGTGTAGAAAACGAAAATGAATAAATGAAAAATGAATACACCCATTTCCAAAAACCTCACATGGATTTTATGACAATAGAGGTTCCCTGTGACAGAAGCTCTCCCCCTTTACTTCTATTCCAAGCTGGAAAAAACACACAGACATGCTAAATAAATAAAAGGGCATTACTTTGTCCAATTATTATCATCCTATCCATCTTGATTTCCATCCACATATGTAGACATTAATGACGTGTGAAATTTGAGTACAAGTTTTTCATGATCAATCTCAAAAAAACAAAACAATCTGCATTCGACATAAAGTGTTGTGAAGTACAGTAATGAATGTTGGATAATCAATAGGAACCAACACAGTGGTTCTATTTTAGTGCAAGGTGAAAAGCAGAATGGATGACACTCATTCGTGGCTTCAAGCTCTTGTCTAAAAATCTCTCTCTTTGCATATGTATATATATATATATATATATACATATAAATATAAAGAGAAATAGTGGGATGCCCCTGTAACTGGTTTTTGTAATGTCTAGTGGAGCTTTCCAACATTCCATGAAGTAGGTGTAGTAGATTGAATGAACGCGCCTCACCCCAATAGATTAACATGCTTGTTCCCTTTGATTCTCCCCCTAATCCCAACCAGGAATAGACCCACCCAGGGTTCCCCAGTGACTAATCTCCTTTTGTGGAAAGCAGGCTCTCCGTGTGAACATCCCTAAGTCTGGAAATGGCCCTGAGCTCGCAAGCTAAGAATGGCTATGCTGGCGCGGTGACAGGTGGTGCCAAGCTGGACCCGACACCCAAGGCCGCACCACCACTGGAGGGGGTGAGAGAGAAGTAAGGGACAAGTGCAGCCATTCAACGAATGTAGAAGTAGAGTCAGTGAGAAGTTTGGGACGGGTGAAAGGGAGAATGGAAAGGATTTCTTGCTTGCTAGCCTTGTAGGGTGTTTAGCAAACCAGGGTAATAATAGGCAATCCTATTGACCCGTGCCCCTCCCACTCTTCTCTCTCACTTGCCATGGATCCTGCCTCACTTGAGGAGCGTGACTGAGACTTCCAGCAACGTTGCCTGCCTGCTTTGTAGCAAGGAAGATAGGAAAAGCCAAAATGCACCAAGCCAAAACAAACAACATCTAGAGTAAAAGGCAGCGAGTCTGGAGGGAAAAAGGATTATAAAAGATTAAGAGGTGGAGGGAGATTCATCATTCTTCAGCGCACAGGATATTTCATTCTCTGGATCTGGGTCTGGGTCTTCCTATTGGGTGTCTTTTTACTGATGTGGGAAAAGTAACATAGGTGGGAAGTGAGAAATAGTGAGCGTAACTGCATTTTTGTATTACACGTGCCCACTCGTTTTTATTTTATTTTGTTTTGATTAGTTGATTGTTTGTTTAAAAATGTGGATTCTCGGTGTGTGACACAGGGAGCAGAGGAGTGCCCCTTGGACTTGTTTCGTGGAGGGAATAGGGACATCCTTACATGTTATGAAAGGGTGCAAAAGGGGGAGGTGGGGGGGGATTCTCAAGGAATGTTATGGGGTCTTTATTTTAAAGCCGATTTTTATTATTCTTATTATTTCAATTGTATTTATATACCTCAATTTATTATTTTATATATATTCTAATTTTTTGTTCTAAAAGGACACCCAGTTGGGGTGAAGTCAGTCCACATCACACAACAAAGGCGCCAGGAGCATGAAGCAGGGCGCCTACCTTCCCACTTCAATCATCCGCAACAGAGAATACTAGCAATAAAGAGACATAGAGAGTAAGAAGAATAAATTGAATAAAAAAATGGTAAAAAACTAAAAACCAACAAAAAAACAAAAAAGCAGGAACGAAAGAAAAGAACAAGAAAAGAAAATAAAAAACGAAAATGGCTGTCGTCTGAGTTCGTGCAAGGGCCCCAACAAAATCCCCCCGCCCCCTTTTGTGGCATCCAAGTTTGGATTTGCAGAGAACGAAATTCACATTTTGCTGCGAGTGAGAGAGGCGAATTGTGACTGAGGAAGTATGTGATTGAGTGTGTCTGAGTGAGAAGGAAGCAGAGAGAGCGGATGCGAATGAATCCAGAGCGCGTTGGTTTCAATAATCAAAATCACGACGGATGGATTCCGTGTGTTGGGGGGAGGGGGATTTTGCAGGGTTGCAAGGTGATATGCTTCCGCGGGGGAGCGATGTCTGAAGGGGAAGGGTGAGATTCCAGGGGAGTGAGACACTGTAGCAGGGAGAGCGATGGCGTGGCTTCGGGGGGGGGGGGGGGGGGGTGGGGTGGGTTATAGTAGAGTAGAAATAGAGTGCTTGACTAGAGTGGGGGCCAGTGGTCATCACCGGGGGCGGGCACAGCTTGCGGGTCTGCAAACACTGCACGGCTGCTGATGAGGGAACGAGAGAGAGCGCACGAGCCAAAGAGAGAAGAGGAGAGATCTGTAGTCTGGCCACCACCTCCCCCCTCCCGTCCCCCACTTCGCCTTCCCCACCTGATTCGAAACTTCAACCCCCTTTATTTTCACCTTTTCCATTCACTTCTAGTCTAACTTGGGTCACTGCCTTCGTCGCTTGCTTCGCAAACACTCTTCATCGTCACCTTCTCTGCGTCGCTCTTCTAATTCCCCTTCCCTTCCACCTGCCTAGTTGTGGCGTTATTATTTACTCGCTTACTCCTCATTCTACAAAGAGCGAGAGGGAGCGAGAGAGAGAGGGAGAGCGCGAGCGCGAGTGAGGGAAGGGAAGCAGTGCTGTGAGGGGGCGTAATTTAGTCTGAGTGAGCTATTTTTTCAACGTTTGTGGGGGACTGGGGGTGGGGGAACATCGAAGCGGTCGCGAGCGTTAGTTGAGTTGTTGGTTTGTTAGGTGAAGGTAGTTTGAGGGCCGGGTTTACAGTGAAAGAAAGTGTGGTCGGTGTAGAAGGGGCTTGCCAGAGGTTTATCGCGATCAGTTTGATGATTGATTGAATTTTTCTGATTGTTGGCACCTTATACGTACAAGCCCGGTTACTGATCTAGTGGAGCGGCAGTGTCCAACTGGGTTCTTTCATCTTGAGTGTTGATGTCATAGGCCCCGCATATCTGTAGACCTTCTTGAACCAGAGAGCGGGTTGGGGACGACGTCAAGTTGTTGTGTCCATTTTGTGCTTTTCTACCGGCTCCTGTCAGTGTCGACTCGAGCGTATTCCCCTACGTCTTAGTGCGGATTCCGTCATTTCGGAGTCACCATTCTTTTTCTTCTCATTGGTCCCGCTTGAGATATTTTGTTTGGCGTCTCGCGTTGCTTGTTGTGGACTCGCGCAGCTACCGAGCTCGTTCTCATTTTGTTCTTCGCGTGCAACAGTTTCAAGTACTATTATGTAGGTGGTCGTGAGGGTGAAGTCGAGAGGATTGTGTCATGAGGAGTAGTCTGGGACGATTTTTTTGCCACATCTAAGGGTGAAGACCAACTTAGATAGCTAGGCTTCTTTATCGTCTCACTCCAAGGGTACTCCAAGGTCATTCGTCCTTGTCCTATTGGCGTGTGATTATTTCTTGGATCGTGCTACACTTGGGGCTGCTAAACGAAGGTTGCGCTTACAAGTAGTCGTAAGATCCTTGATGCAAGCGTGGGGTTGGATAATGCAATCTTCCCGTTTGTTACTAAATTTTTCATGTATGGATAATCGTATGCAATTTCACTCGGAGTCTACTGTACAGTCTTCGGATGATGAATCGGACATTGACTTCCGAGAATCGGAGCCATTAATTCAGATAAATCTAGAGATGCCACCATCTTCAGATGATGAATTGGAGAGCTTTGTTGGCAGTAAATCCGAATTTCTAATAAAGGGTTCAAGTATGAGTAATCCACTGCAATTTCATAGGGAGAACGCTTTACCGTCTTCGGACGATGAATCGGACAGTGACCACTCCCGTGAATCAGTTCCTTTGTTTCATGTCCACTCGAAGGTACCACCGTCTTCAGACGATGAATCGGAAAAGTCTCCTTGCGAAGAAGACTTACTACATCAATGTCCCTTGCCTTGTCAGGTTTGGCGTCTTCCCACATTTCTATCTGCATCACATCGTTTTCTTCACTCTCGGCGGGAACTTTAGTCAATTTTCGAATGTGGTTCTTCGAGAAGGAAAGGCTAGACCGCCCTTTTCTTGTAACGCAAATGAAGTCTTCATTGAAAGAGTTCCTGCTCCCCTCGCATTCGGGATCATTCCTTTCGGAGGCTGGGAAAAATGAAGATTCTAAGTTGATCAAACCTTTAGTCAAGTAATCAGAGCAAAAGATGGAGGCATGAGCTTCCATTGTATCTGTAGAACGTTCCTCTTACTACTCAGGTCTCGTATATTTCATATTTTGTTTCAGCAGCTAAGGACGCTGGCTGCTACGTCGGCATGAACATGAGGAAGAACTGCCTTCCAACCGGTGTTCCCGGTTCCACTAGAGCCATGGAATGGGTAGAAGTCTGCGGATAAGCTAGACTTTCATGAATTCTTCTCGATAACCGCACGCCGAGGCATTAGTACAGTAAAGCCGAAGAGATTCCTGTCATTTCACTTTGGGGTCAGCCTTAGGCTTTGTCTCTTCGCAGGCAAGCAAGAGTTTTAAATCACTCGGTAATGATTTCTGCAAAGGAATGTGCCACGTCTTCGCTCCTAAAGTGCGCTAACCTTTTTACCTCGTTTCACGGATAGCAGTGTCTTTTTAAACTAGAGCTCTGTGGGCGGCCCAGATTCATCCAATGATTACCTCACATGATTCTCCTGATCTTTTCTTGGCCGAGGAATTGGGTGTCAAGGTTGACAGGCATTGCGTATGTATTATGACAACGCAATTTCTCTGATCTTCGGTGATGATTTACAGCAGATTCGTTGTGTTAATCTAGCACTCGAAGGTTAGAAGTTGAAAGTTCCATCACATACGTAGTAGGGTGGTAAAAAATTGATTGCCACTGAAGTCAGGATCGCGTAATGGGTGACAAGCCCATTTGATCGCTAGCCCATACCGGTTACATGCCAAGTATCCTAGTCCAGCCTGGCGAGGATTGCGTAATAGAAAACAATCACATTGAATCACCAACCATCACTAATAGCAGCGACAGTCCAGGACGAATTACGTGTCAAATTGAACGGAAGCTCTGAAATGAACTTGAGGGACCCGTACGTAGAATATATGGGGTTTACGGAATCTTTAGCACCAGGGTTTAGCGACTGACTGATGTACAGACACTAACTCAGATTCTTGTAGAAGGTATTGGTATGCCGTTTTCTATCGTTCGAATGGAACAGGTTCTAGCCAATTATAACACCAATTTTAACATTGGCAAATGCGTTCAACGCTTGCTGAATGATTCTTGTCGTGAATGCAGATTTTCGAAGAATTAAAGAAGTTGCTAGAAATTGCAGGCCCGCTGGCTGCTTTGAATTGCGTCGTGTATGTTCGGGCCATGGTATCAGTGTTGTGCTTAGGGAGATTGGGCGGGTTGCAGTTGGCAGGAGGTGCACTCTCAATAGGCTTCACGAACATCACAGGTTACTCGGTTCTAGCTGGTCTCGCATCAGGAATGGATCCAATATGTAGTCAAGCTTACGGATGCGAGAATTATAACTTGATCGGACTTGCGCTTCAAAGGACCATCTTAATTCTTCTTTCGGCATGCCTTCCCATCAGTGTGCTATGGTATAATTTGGAAAGCATACTTTTGGCGCTCCGTCAGGATCCTGAAATCACTGCGGTTGCAAGTATGTTCTGCTTGTATTCCCTACCGGATTTGTTGGCGAATAGCTTTCTGCAACCACTTCGGATCTATTTGAAATCTCAAGGGCTCGCTGCTCCAATGTTCTGGTGCTCAGCGCTTGCAGTGTTGCTGCATGTGCCTCTCAACATACTCCTAGTTTTCGTTTTGGAGCTTGGTGTTCCTGGGGTTGCAATCGCTGCCGTATGCACCAATTTCAACATGGTTTTCTTCATTTTAGTTTATTTATTGTATTCAGGTGTCCTGAAAGGCACATGGGTGCCGTGGTCCACAGAGTGCTTACGAGGCTGGGGGCCGTTGCTGACCCTTGCTCTACCCAGTTGCTTGGCACTCTGTCTGGAATGGTGGTGGTATGAAATTGTGACCCTTCTAGCTGGGTATTTGCCAAATCCACAGGTTGCTGTTGCAACAACTGGAGTAATAATTCAGACGACAGCATTGATGTACACATTCCCGCAAGCTTTGAGTTCCTCCGTATCTACTCGCGTGGGAAATGAGCTTGGAGCTGGAAAACCTGCACGGGCAAGGATAGCCACATTCGTGGCTCTTTGCTGTGCCCTCGTAGTCGCTATTGTCAGTTTGACCTGGACCACCGCTCTTCGAAGTGTATGGGGTCACGTCTTCACGGAAGATGAAAATGTGTTGGCTTTGACAGCAGCAGTGTTGCCCCTCGTAGGACTTTGTGAGCTTGGCAACTGTCCCCAAACGACTGGTGTGGGTGTTCTACGCGGAAGTGCTAGGCCTGCGGTTGGGGCACGCATCAACTTGGGTTCATTTTATGCTGTTGGGACACCCGTTGCAGTTGCTCTAGCCTTCTGGTTCAAAATCGGGTTCGGGGGCCTGTGGTATGGGCTTCTGGCAGCACAAATTGCTTGCGCTGCCTCAATTTTGTTTGTTGTTCTGCGCACTGATTGGGCGGCTGAGGCCAAGAGAGCACGGGATTTGACAGGGCCTGTACCTAAGGAATTGCAGGTGACGGTTAAAACAAGCAACAGAATTGTGCCGGTGGATATGGATATTGACGAACTTCTGAAACCGGGTCTGTTTTCACCGAAGAAACCACAGTCTGAAGGACCCATTAGGATTGGGAATCTTGAAACGGAAATGATAATGGTGATTGTTGATGGAGGGGCTGGACAACATTTCAATCACTGTGGAAATATTATTGCGCAGAAAGAGAGCTATCAATGTATATAACATTTTGATTTTCTTCATTCCCTACACCCTTTCCCGAATACCCATCTTTTTGTAGACAGGGTCGTGGCCTTGGACTTTGTTCGTTAGGCTATTGGGTGTTCCAGATGTATCATACAAGAAAGTTGCTCAGCACAGGTTGTATTCTTTCTATATTCTGGTTTAGGGGCTGGGGATTTTCTGCTGATGCCTGTCACCCCACGTCCTCATGAGGCATGTAAAGGGCATTTTCTTTCCTCCACAGTGAAAACAGATCGGGTTGATTGGAGTGGCACATTGCCACTTACATGCCGATTCCGCTCACGTAAAGCAGTGGGCTTATCAACCCGTTCAATGACAAAATTTTCTTGTCAAGTTTTATGATTCACCCACGCATTTAGGTTGGGTGAAGTTATATAAACCTCTTTGTAAGTATCCATCTTTTATATATTAAGCTCTCTTTTTCGCTGTCTTGTTCTCCACTTGTGCATCGAGTCAGGTGATCAGTCCTCTTCACTGCACATCTGGTTTGTTGTTGTTGTGATGATATTGCTATGCCTCACCATGTATGACTTGTCGGTTAGAGTGCAACTTCACTGGCCTGGAGTTTCCATGTGGTCCCTTCTCAACACAACTAATGTTTACATCATGCAGCTGGTAGCCGTCAACCCCTTGCAGAGAACGGTGGGTAGCTTCTGCTGTTATTTGACGTCTTTCTCAGAAGCTCGCAGGTGTACATCTGACGATACCGACATTTTATCGCCAAAATCCAACTTTCTTGTATGATACATCTGGAACGCAGTCATTGTGTAGTTCTGAAATCACACATTGTACCCACCACGATGGTGCCCTTGAATTGACACCCTACATAGCTGTTTCCTGAATTATGAGTCATAATTCCTGTTTCCGTTGCCATTTGAGAAGAAATTGTTCGGCACAAATGCGGTGCGGGCCATGATAAATTGTTTTTGCCAAGTTCTCCTTGTCTCGGCAGCCTTCGCCACAGAACACCAATTCCTTGTGAGGAATCAATGTTTTAAAACCTCTTCCAAATATACCGTCGTAGAAAACGAGCACTCTGCTAAGGAATGTCGTCAGATAAGAACGTGTGCTGCAAAAGGTGATTGAGGCATCTGGGGTTGCAGCTCAATCTTGAAGAATTTCCAAATCTCTAGTTCAATCCTCTCGTCAGAACATGCCACGATGTCACAGCGTAACAAACTGGTCAGATTGGCAGCGGCCATGTCAGAAAACGTCGAGAGTTCACATTATCAGCATCTCCAGAACATGGTGACCACAGATTTGGTTGAAAAGTGCGTGCTTCCAGAATCAGGACTACCCACTGTAGATGTTGGAGCGGATCGATCCCAATCGCGAACGATTACCCGACGCTGGTCTCACCTCTGCAAAAGGCAAAAGCACCACCTACTGCTACACGCTCAAGTGGACTTCCCAGCTTTACTCACCACATGCATGTCCACACTGCCGGAGTGGATCATACAATGTCCGTTAGTTGATAGGCAGTTCTGCTTCTTGTGGCCCCCCCCAGCGGCCTCTGCCTATTTTGTTTGGACATCCATAACATATTATCCTCCAGTGTGCTGGGTTTCTCATTACCTGCTCGCTTTCTCCGATGCATTTATTTATTTATTTCGTTTAAAGCTCTCCAGTCTGGACACTCGGGACGCTACACACTGCTTTCCGATCTCTCCTTTTGTATTTGCTATTTCCAGTTGTACTGGAGGGCAAGATGCCGCATTCCTTCGGCTTTATGTCCCAGATTCTTCTTTATTACTTGATCCCCCTCCAAACCGGTGGTCCGCATCTGTATGTAAAGCAACGCAGAGGCGAACCACTCACCGTCGACGAGCCCACACTGTCCTTGCCGAATAAAATTCAGTTGTGTTCCGTCATCATTAGGTCCCTTCTCCTCGCATCCGTGGTCTTCCACGCAAAATCCTCGCATTACTGGTTTGCTGACTGCACGAAAATAGTATTCCTCGAACCATGTACAATATCTGACCGATTTCCGTCCCAGCGTGGTCCACTTCGACAACTCCAGCTGCAAAAAACACTTCTCTCTGGCTAATATATTCCTCGTGACAAGCTCGGCAGCCTTTCTACCGCTGCAAGTCGGTCGCTAGCTTTAACGACACACAAAAGAGTTACTCACCCAAATCCCCACTCTGCATACCCAAGCACTTCTTACACGGTGGCGGATGGCTCCAGATCGGGTCCCAGTAACCAGAGTTGTAAAATTCCGTGCAACCATGCCAGGAATTTACTTGATTGATATCATTAAGCTAGATTTGTGCAACTTTTGCGATATTCTACGACGTGGGCGGAAATCTCTTCGAAAGCGAGTGACAACAACACCCTACTCCTCACGTACTCGACAAGTTGTGAAACCATGTCCGTTTACACAGTGCCCTCATCATCTGTGCGAATTCGGTGAGGGCTCCTTTCTCACGACATGGGTTTGAACTAGCGCCAAGGTGTGCCGAAATCCCTCGCACCATCGCCACCTGACTGCATGGAAATACCACAGCGGAAGAAAAACGTGGCCGTCGTCAAAGACGCGCTGTCTCTTTGTCTCCACCATCGCTTGCGAATTCTAGCTCCGATGCATTCCTCACCACAGCAACTTTTTCGCAACCCTAATTTATCTCCCAATGTGAATTGAATTCTGACTCAATTGTTTCTTACAAAACTTCAATAACCCTTGTGTCATGATTTAATTTAAATTCACTTAGTGGGAAAACATACCAAATCGAAGAAGCATTAGATCTTGGTGATTGCTTTTGAAAAGCAAAAATGAGATAATCTTGCATTGTTTCATGAGATTGAACAGTTCTGAACATGGTGGTGGGTAAACGGTTCTGTGTGACATCTTTATTCTCTGTACAATCTTTCTTAGTTTTATTCCTGTCGGACCTTCTATTTTTATTTTCTCGACACCCATATTCCTCACAAATTTAATATGGATTACAAATTAGTTCCTTCTAAAGTTGTTTAATCATGGGTTCCTTTCAAAATCGATATGAGATTGCATGATTGATAGTTTTGGTATTAGCTTGATTGATAAGACTATGGGGCATTTTTTATAAACCCAAGTTTGGGTGCAAAAATCTATAAGAATCTTTCGTGAAACGTTTTAGATGCCGAGTCTAGTCTTTACTGAAAGAAAAATCGTCGCTTTTCATTAGTTCCTATATGTGATAATCCTAACATCTCCTCCTCGACATAGGGGAGCAGTATTGGACGGGTATTGGATAAATGAGGGGTGAAATCCAACCTGTGCTGACAAGGCCCGGCTTCATGACAGCATATCTGCCACGTCATGTGGACTCACACCATAAACACAGCGCAGCATGGATTTTCTGTTGTGTAGGGTCCCACTTGAGGTCCCTAGAAAGTCCCAGAATACCCAACATGAAGTCCAGTTAGCCGCAAATGGGTTGCCTATTTTTGGTTCCCATGGGTCTCCTCGAATAAGCCACTCCCGTGTAAAATATTCCAATTCCATTTGATCAAAGGTTTGTAAATGCTGACTTGGACGGTTAAGCCCAGCTGGCAATAGTGGGCGAGCACATGATGCCTGGATGGGAAGCCATCTCAAACAGAACTTGACAAGTTATGGGTCGGTGATGGGGCCAATTGTTGTCATGCTTGTGCCATAAGTTATTTAACCGGATTTTCAAAAACTTTACTTTAAACCTAAATATGATTGATATGGAGTATTTTATAATTATAGCTTATTATTATTAAAAGAGGTATATGATTGAAGTTTATATTTTAGTGGAGTAGGATAAGATTTTTTATTTTATTTTATATAATTTACTTAATATCATTGCTTTTTGTTACTATTAGTATTATGTAGCATACATATGGGCGGACAAATATTGATTTGGATGTTGAAATGTTAAGAGTCCATGATTCACATGGATGTGTAAATTTGAAGCAACAACATATTAACTTCATTCCTCTTTTTAAGTAATCTACTATGATATTTTTGTAAAATTTTAGTATCAACAAGATATATATACAAACATATTTTATTACATGACTGTTTAAAGAGTATTTTGAAAGGCATGTGAAATATAAACCACTTCATTCTTATATGTGGAAGTAACTTAATTAAGTACACAATATTAATATGACTTGACTTGAAATTAAATTGAAATTCTGTTTTGAATCACCTTTTAGACATGCATTTAAAAAGCAATTTTATTAATATGAAAGTATACATATATATATATATATATATATATATATATATGTATATATACATTTTTTTAACCCAGTTGAAAGCAGATGCCACAACACATACAACAGCATATATAATCTGTTATGGCTAATAGTAATTCACACATATGCATTTTTTTTTTTTTTTTTTTTTTTTTGTAAATTTAACAATTTTTTTTAAATTTATTTATTCAATTTTTAAAGATTGATTTTTTGCAAAGTAATTTTATATTTTTTAATCATATTTTAATTACTATTAGCTTACTGATTAAACTTACGAATATTGCATAAATTTTTTGAAAATAACTGCTAAAAATAAAGCTTGTGGTTTTGAAAGAGGCTTTAAATTTCTCATCTACAAGTGACCAGGCATAAGTAAACCTCTAAAAACATTCTATGTATAAATTTTTATATGGCACTATTTAATTCAAGTATGATATATGAATCTTAATAAAATTTACATATTGTTAAATAGATTTTTTAAAATAAAAATTTAACATTATTTCAATAAGTTATGTGATCATTCAATCCTAATTTCTTGAACAACAAATTGCAATAAATTTTAAATTTTTTTATAATATTTTGGATTTTGTATATCATTTAATGTATTTCTACAAAGTTTAAACCATGATATTTAATGTATTTCTACAAATTCTTAAGAATTAGATATATATAGAGGTAAGAGTAAGATCTTTCTCACTCTTGTCAACTTCTTTCTTGCTTCAACTTCTTTCTTGCTTCTAGTCTAGTTTTAAGAATCTCTAGTTTTCTAGTCTTTAATCATAGCCATTTCAATTTCTTCTTGAATATACATTTTGTTTTGTTTTGTTTTGTTTTTTTGTTTTTTTTTCATGTTTCTTTGATATATGCCTCACTTATTTATTTATATTCTTTGAGTTCTTATTCTTGATATATATTTAAAAGAAAGTGGAAAAAACTTAAAGACAAACTTTGCTAAAGAAAATATTAAGGTGTTTGTAGATAGTATTTTAATATGTATATTGCCTCAAGAAATAAATTATTAATATTTTAAATAAAAGAAAATCTAAATAAAATTTTAAATATAAAATTTAAGTTTCTTTGGCAATCTAAATAAAATTTTAAATATAAATTTTAAGTTTCTTTGGCAATCTAATAGCTTATGGTTGAATGCAATGAATTATGGTGAAAAAGAAAAATTTAGTAGGAATAAATTATGTTGTATTGGTATTAGCATTTGTCATTATATTAGTTAGAA